TATTAAAAGCCTGCCCTCTACAGGCAATAATTATAAATTTATTCTAACTGATTGTTCCAAGATTTGTTTCAAAAAGCCTGCTCTCAGCAGCCGACATTTTTCCCAGGTATCATATTATAAGGTGCGATTCCTGGAAGGTGCGATTCCCGGAAACTTCGGGCAACACATTTCACATTTATGCAATTGTCAATTTCAAGAATGGATACACCTGCTCTCTACAGCCAACTTTATCCACAGATAGCTCTTGGGCTGTTCCAAGAATAGTTATATGATGTCTGCCCTCTACAGGCAGTTCAACTGCATGTTCCAAGAAAAGCTACAAGATGTCTGCCCTCTACAGGCAGTTCTATTTTAAGTTCCAAGAATGGTTTCATTATACGTAACTTGTACTCATATTCTCAAAATTCGTCGCTTATGATTTCAAAACTAAATTGGCGAACAATATTCTCATACTCTCATTAAAAGCGTCATTAAAGAATACACATGTCAATTAAATGTGGTTTGTCAAAATTAACAAATAACTAAGAATGAATAATTTTGTGTTATAAATACAGGAGAACAAAATAAGGCTGAAAATGTTGAAGTAGGTTTCCATAGAATATACTTGAGGTAACAAATTGAATCTATATAACATAAAAAAAAAACACCTCACCCATTAGCGCGGAAATGAGTCCTTCTATAATGTGAGCAAACCAGACTGTCCTGCACAGGATATTTTTGACACACAGTATAAGGTAACACAGGTTCAGTATAAATTAATATTCATGTTGTAGTACATACCAAATATATTTAGCTTTCTGAGGCAGACTGCTTGATCATATGTATTAATAAGTAGATAAATATACTTGTCAGCCTTCTTTGGTCACTATTGCACATTGTTATAAAATGGAAAAAACTGAATGGACTTACGTTACATTATCTTGAGTAAATCAACATACGAATGGCAGTGTTAGGTCGCAGTTAAAATTTATGTACTGTAAACCTTTTTTTTAAAATTTCACTTCAATTTTTGCATTCATGAGAACAAATTTTGTGGAAGTTACTGTGACTCACTAGGATTTTGATGAAAGTCACTGTGACTCCCTTAGGTTCTAGAGAAAGTTACTGCAACTCCCTAGGATTCTAGTGAAAGTCACTGTGACTCCCTAGGATTCTAGTAAAAGTTACTGTGACTCCCTAAGATCCAGTGAAAGTTACTGTGACTCCCTAGGATTCTAGTAAAAGTTACTGTGACTCCCTAAGATTCTAGTGAGTCATGTGACTCCCTAGGATTCTAGTAAACATTACTGTGACTCCCTAGGATTCTAGCGAAAATCACTGTGACTACTTAGGATTCTAGTGAAAGTCACTGTGACTCCCTAAGATTCTAGTGAAAGTTACTGTGACTTCCTAGGATTTAAGTGAAAGTCACTGTGACTCCCTAGGATTCTAGTGAAAGTCACTGTGACTCACCTAGGATTCTAGTGAAAGACACTGTGA